GATGTCTATGAGCAGCGCTGATTGCTTACCATCAGGTAATTCCTCAGCTCGTAACGTCCTATAAACAAAAAAAAAAAAAAATATGGTACCTATTAGACTTTTATAAATTATGGGTATTCCAATATGATTTACTTTCTTTCTATAAAGATTTTGACGTAGATTAATATTCTGTTATCCACATCTATCTATCTATCTAGTTGTTAACCGATATCCAAACAGGGTAGAAGTTTCCTAATTTGACTTCGTATACATGTTTTTCGCAACATATAACATACATTCAGTCAACAAAGTATCGGGAATGAATGTTTTTTTATGGTTCCAAATTCGATTTTTTTTTTGTTGTTGTTAGATTGGCATAACTGTTTTCCATTTGGGCGCGGAATTTGAGTTGCATCTGTTATTAATATTAAAAACAGTGCTGTTTTTAGTTTTATAATATCTAGTGTGTATTGCCAATTTCATAATGGACAAAAACATCGAACAAAGAGTTAGAGTCTTAAATTTTGCATCGCCAATGAAATTTCGTGTTGGGAGGCACTCAAAATGTTACAGAAGGCTTACGGTGAATCGACTTTATCAAAAACACGTGCTTATGAGTGGTACAAAGCGTTCAAAAGCGGTCGAGATGTGATGGAAGATTTGCCTCGTTCTGGTAGGCCATCAACGTCTGCAACTGAAGTTAACATCGCAAAGGTGAAGGAAATAGTGACTGAAAATCCTCATTCCAGTTTGAGAGAGATGGCCGCCGAACTTTCTGTAGCTCACGAGTCGATCCGTACCATTTTAACAAATAATTTGGGTATGAAACGTGTTGCCGCTCGGCTAGTCCCAAAAGACCTGAATTTTCTTCAAAAACTAAATCGCATGAAAGTCGCTGAGGACATGCTAGAACGAGTCAATACCGACCCAACATTCATGAAACGCATTGTTACTGGTGACGAGACGTGGGTGGACGAGTTTGACATGCAAGCTAGTCAACAAGCTTCGGAATGGCGCCTTCCAACTGAAACCAACACCGAAAAAACCACGTCAAAGTCGATCAAAAGTCAAAGTCATGTTGACTGTTTTCTTTGACTATCGCGGTGTTGTGCACTCAGAATTCTTGCCCGAAGGTCAAACGGTAAATAAAGAATATTATTTGAGCGTTATGCGGCGTTTAAGAGAACAAATTCGACGAAAAAGGCCAGAAATGTGGAAAGAAAATTCTTGGATTTTGCATCACGATAATGCGCCTTCGCACAAGGCCATCATTGTAAACGATTTTTTGTCCAAACACTCAACAAACACCATCGAGCAGCCAGCATATTCACCAGATATGGCTCCAGCCGACTTCTTTCTTTTTCCCACACTCAAATTACCCCTTCGTGGCACCCGTTTTCAATCGTTAGAAGACATAAAGGAGAATTCGCGGCGAGCACTGAACTTAATTCCGGAAACAGCGTTTAAAAAAAGTTTCGATGATTGGATTATTCGTTGGCGTAAGTGTATCGTTTCTGAAGGAGCATACTTTGAAGGTGATAAAATAAATTTAGATGAATAACAAACATTTTGTGTATTATTGACTTTTTCCCGGTACTTTCTTGATAGAGTAGTATAATTAAACTGTTTTGTCCAACCTTGATATACGTGAATTACAAAGTACAATAAAAAGCTACTAAGTATAAAATATTTACTGTTTCAGCCTACGGTCGTTTATAAATCAGTAAGAAGTTTATAGTATTGTTGTTGCGTTTATTACTCGCAAATGTTTATAAAACAATCGATTGTACTACAATATTGCTAATTTACAATCTGCAGCTGTTTTAGTCGATTGCAGTGTGTATATATGTTTTTCAATATGTACGTTTTATGAGCTTAGAACTCCTCACTTTTCGGCTTCCTATCTTCAGACACAAAAATGATACCATAAAAGCGTTCTGTTGTAACTTTACAAGTAAGGACAGTAACATCTATCGAATCGTTGATTGTAATTATAAGAAAAATAATTTTATTGTATGTTCTAAGCGTGATTATCTGTTTTGCTGGGATATTAGAGATCTAAGGTTGTCGCAGATCCAAGCGTAAGACCCACTAGCCGATGTCTGTCTCCAGGGTTGCGGGTGGAAGTGAAGATACCGCAGCCCCAGCTCTGATGTTAAGCCGGGGTTGCGGGGTAAGCGCAATGAGGCTCCGCGACCTCGGCCCAGAGCAGGAGAAGGAACAGGGGGGTTTTAAGTTAGAAAAAGTCTGACACTTGTTCCCGCCTCTCCTGCTAAGGCAGGAGAAGACATATGATTTTCCCCTGACAAAAAAAAAACTGAGTAGAAAAGGAAAAACCGTTTTACTTTTCTCCCCTTTAAAAAGTAAAAATATTCTAATTTTAATTTATCATTGCGTTGTTCTTTGTTTTTTTTAACTATGTGTATATATTATGTTTTCGGCTTACTCACGTAATAATTTGACGAAATACTCGAGATCTACTTTCTCACGAGAGTTAAAAAACAAAAATATGTGTATACAATAGTATTTCTGATATATTTTACAGGCGGGAGGATATATTTTATCCATTAGTTGGTTAAATTTTTTACTTAAAGTTTTTATAATTATAAGGCAGAATGCCTGATAAAGCCGGTGCTTGATGTTTTCTTGTAGGTTTTATTACCAGGTACGCTGCTCGGTGCATAACAAATTAATCGTAATCTTAACGAGGTGCACTTAGTTATGGTCTGCGATAACAGAGGTCATTGAACTTTGTGTTTTAACAGCCTACTTTACTGACCGCACTTCTGTGCCCATACGCATAGACGCCACTGTTCAGCGTATCAGAGCGAAAGTCGACCTTATCGCTTAAGAAATATCAGCGGTAATTAATTACGGAAATATTTCAAGTATAAAGGTGCACTGTGCAGGTATATTTATAGAGATGATTGTCTGTTTAGATCCTTATCTTAATTATTTCTAAGATATTTGTTTTAAGCCTCGCCCTCTTGGAATGATGATAAATTATTGTATTTTAGTTAAAAAATATATTTTATATGTGCAGCTACATTCGACATTATTCTGTCTGACTGCTACTGAAGAAACTTTCAAGTATTCATTTTTATATTTTTTTCGCTTTATTAAAAAAACGTGTCCCCACACTATGATTTTCTCCTGTGTTGTGGGTGCGTTTACATACAATTTCACACGCACATTACACTCAGACCCGAAACAACAATCTGTGGATCACACAAAGAGTTGTTACGTGCCGCGACACGTTGCGCAGCAGCTAGTTGCCCAGCCACCGCGCCAACTGTCCGGGGTTGCGGGGTAAGCGCAATGAGGCACCGCGACCTCGGCACAGAGCAGGAGAAGGAACAGGGGGATTTTTATTCAGTAAGAGTGTGACACTCCCGCCCGGCCCTGGGCGGGAGAAGTCATTTGATGAATTTCCCCTCACAAAAAAATACACTAGCTACTCTCGCGCGGTTACACCCGCTGCTCAGGTCCATTTAATCGTAGCGTGATTTTTTATAGCCTATAAGGAACATTGTAGCTACCTATCAGTGAAAGAATTTCGGCAATCCGACCAGCAGTTCCAAATATTACCTCCTACATACAAACTTACAAACATACAAACTTACAAATTTTACCTCTTTATAATATTAGTATAGATAATATTGTTCTTTTTTTTCATTTAGATGCAAATTGCCAAGCACACACTTTACTAAGAGTATGTACTGAATGGAGAACTGACTTCATTCTAATACTCATGTGTGCAGGCAGTTACTTATACCGAAACGTCACATGTCGCATCGTGGCGTGCACACTACAACTACATACTCTACCTGTATATTATCAATGCTACGTGCTCGTATCCTGTGTTATTACTATGCCAGTTACATTACAAGCCGTCACGCGATGTCACTAACAAAACGTGTTTGTGTGTGTAACACTTTATTGATTGCTAGTTGTTGGTAGGATGACTTGCATGACTTCTCCAGAGCTGAGTTGAGAGAGAGTGCCAGACTAACTGTCTAGACACCACCCTGTACGATCAGGAGAAGCCTCCTGTTCGAAGCCACAACTGATCACACAGCTGATCTTGTCATGTTTTTTTTTACTTTCAATAAACTGGTGCTTGACTGCGATCCCACCTGATGGTAAGCAGTGATGCAATCGTTGATGTATCCAGTTTATTTCATACTAGCTACACTCGCGTGGTTTCACCCGCTGCTGTGCTCCGTTTGATCGTAGCGTGATGTTTTATAGCCTATAGCACTGAGGAGCATTGTAACTATCTATTAGTGAAAGAATTTTGGCATTTCGACCAGCGGTTCCAAAGATTAACCCCTACATACAAACTTACAAATGTTACCTCTTTATATTATTATTAGTATAGATGAATAAAATTTCAAGTTAAAATGTCACTTTCCATACAACTTAAGCAGGTGTTTCTCAATAATTGATGCGTGCTGAAATATTGAAACAAATATATAGGTTTATTAATAGTATTTCTGATAAGAAATTGCTATAAAACATTAGATGTATAGATGATTGTACCGATTTCTGTTTCTATAGCGTTTGCCAGTCAATTATTTTTCGCAATTTGTTTTTCTTCCAAAGTACTATTGACCACAAGTCCCTTTTAATTAACAGAAGGAAAATACATGTTACATCACTGCATTGTTGACCACAATAATATTATGTTATAACAAGAAAACTTATACCTACGTCTCTAATCATTAGCTAATATGGTATTAGGTATATGTGAATAGTATAAATAATTCAAATACATAGTTAGGTAGTTAGACAATGTTTTCTCTAATTAAATAGCTTACTAGCCATTGCTTTAAATGTTTGTGTTTTCCTCCTAAATACTTAGTAGCTAAACAGCTAACGGACTGAACTTATGTGTAGAAGAAACAATAATAATGTAAGATTAATTTAAGACACGAAATTAAATTACGATACATAGATATTTAGACCACATTTCTATCTTAATTTCTCTCTTCTAACAACCTGTTTCTCTCTTGTTTCAGATACTGATCACACCGGACAATAAACGCGTTACATTGCCGCGGCAATAAGCAAAAACAAGACTGATTTTGAGTAGTGTAACACATAACTTTCGATGTATAGATAACAAGAAGCCGGGATAAGGCAAAATGTTTAAGTTATTAGGAGGGCTAAGTGTTTACTTCAAGTACCAGCCTATTAGGACTGATAATGCAGTGTTCAGGCTGCACAATGTGTTCACGACAGTGCTGTTACTCACGTGTTCCATGATCATAACCGCGACCCAGTATGTCGGGCAACCTATACAGTGTATCGTCAGTGGCCTGCCCACCAATGTCGTCAATACATTCTGCTGGATCACGTCCACCTTCACCATGCCTGATGCTTTCGCCAGAGAGGTGAGTTTTGATTAAATCTTAACATAGGTATAAACGTTTCTAAGTGTAGTTGCACCAACCTTCAGCACAAAGGAGTCTGTTCGACCGGAGTGATACCGCAGGCCAGAAAACCCGCGTGAAACAACCACAGCATTGTGTTTCGCCGTGTGAGTGAAATTAACCCATAATAAAACTCTTTTTTTAACCTGAAACCTAAGCAATTTTTTGACGTTGGCAAACGAGCAAACGCTTTACCTGCTAGTAAGCAATCAGCGCCGTCCATGTACACCATTAAAAGATTTACTATTATTAATTAATCAGAAACTACAATGCTAACTTCATCTTCGTATTGTCATCCTTCAGTAAGTTATTCAGAATTGGCAACGTGCCTCATTAACTTCGTACTTAACAGTTCAGACTCAGTCTTTCAACTTGATCTTAAGGGCTCTCAGCTTGATTGACTCCCTTTGGTTTGAAGAGTAACACTCCCCTCACTAGCCCAATATTTCATAATGCTTGTACAGTGTATCTAGTACCTTCTAGTGGGTGTAATATGTCGCGTGGTTTATATTTATCACTATATCTTCAACTATATGTTACTGACGTGTTTTTTTTAATAAAAATGTTGCCCCACTATAATATTTTCTCCTGTGTCGTGGGTGCGGTTACAAACACACAATTTCACATACACAATCATGACACCCAGACCCGGAACAACAATTTGTGGATCACACAAAGAGTTGTTCCGTGCGGAAATCGAACCCGCGACACGTTGGACGGCAGCCAGTTGCCCAGCCACCGCACCAACCGTGCAGTCAGTGCAGGTGCAGTCTTGTTTTGTTATGTTCCAAAAATATTGACTGCATTTTCATCATCGTCTTCATCAGCTTATAAGTTTTGACGACGCTTGCTCGAGGCGGGTTGGTGATTTTAAACTTATTATTAGATTTTTTTATATAACGGCTTAGTCACATATATTGAGAAAAGCTCTGCTATTAACAGTCCACTTACGTAGTACTAGTCGGTTGCGCGATGTCCCAGCCCCGCGCACACTGCTCATGAATAAGAGTTCCGTTGTATCTTGAAATTAGTAGAGCTTTTCTCAGTTAACTCACACGAGTAAATTGTTATTTTCAATTAATTTAGCTTGGCGTTTATTAGGAATTTGGTAGACCTATTAGAGATATTTTAATAAGTTAGTTACTTTCGAATCGGTTCTGGTAAGTACTGCAATGTGCAGTTAAAGTCAAAATATGAAACTCGTGTTCAAATACAAAGGAAGTTATATGTCAGCCATTAGTAACGTTATGTTTATTACATCAGAACGGTAGTCGGCCTCCCATGTAGGTGTCAGTGCACGTTTTCACCGAATTAATTACAATGGTAACATTTGTAACACAATATTGGCCGTCTGCCAACTCCTCCGCGAATCAGGTGTCGCTTCCGATTTCTTTGTAGCTTCCATAAGAACGCCGTATAGCCGTCTTTATCTCCTTACCAAAGAATCCATTGTGTGATCGTCTTATGATATACTTACAGATCTAATTTAATATATTATTGTGTAACCTATAATGTAGGTACCTCATTTTATTTTCAACTACCAACCCGCCCCGGCTTCGCACAGTTGCAATGCTGATACTAATTTTCTCCACTATTTAATGGATATTGTTATACATGTAAATCCTCTTCGATCACTCTTATCTAATAAAACACCGCATCAAAATCATTTGCGTAGTTTTAAAGATTTAAGCATACTTACATAGGGATACAGGGACAGAGAAACTGACTTTGTTTTATATTATGTAGTGATTCATAAATGAAAATAATGTTTTCTTTTGTTATGTCTACTTTAATGAATTATTATCTTTTAACCCTTTAGTTAGATCATCCACACATCGGTTCTGTGAATCCTTTATACAACAGTTTGCACTGTTTTGAAGCGTAAATTATTTTCATACGATTGAAAATAAGTATGTAACAAAAAAATTACTACTAACTGTCTTCCGATACGGCAATTCAGTTGATGTAATTATATCTGCGAGGTGGTCTTTCAAGACTGTCTGTCATCGAACTAGTACTGCTGTAAAGCTGTCAAAATAATAGCAACATCACTATTTTACTGTACTAGTTTGCGTAACAATATATAAACATTTTTTGCGTTACTAAACTTAGGTTAAAACAATCAGCCGTATATCATGGTGTTATAACTTATTTTACTATAAATGCCCCGTTAATAAATTGGTTATTTAACATAAAGGGCACCACGTTTATGCAATAGTTTTAACAGTGTAGTGTCCACCACAGATGGGGCCCAAAAGCGCCGGTGCTTAGCCTGTGGTTGCGGGTCAATTGTAATATGTTAACGCGGCCTCGGCCTGGTCCAGGAGAAGGAAAGGGGGCTTTTTAGTCACTAAGAGTCTGAAACTTACTCTCGCCTTAACCTGGGCGGGAGAAGTTATTTGATAATTTCCCCTGGTAAAAAAGGGTACCGTGGCCTCGGTTTGGAACAGGAGAAGGAACGGGGTCTTTTTAGTCAGTAAGAGTCTGACACTCACTGTCGCCTTACCCTGGGCGGGAGCACTCATTTGATGATTTTCCTCTGGCAAAAAAGGGTACCGTTTCCTCGGCCTGGAGCAGGACAAGGAACGGGGACTTTTTAGTCAGTAAGAGTTTGACACTCACTCTCACCACACCCTGGACTAAACCTCTTTCGCCATACCAATGACTTCTCATTTGATGGTTTTTCCGTCCTTGAAAAAACTGCAGTGTTTTGTGTGTTTGAGATGATTTTCTATTTAATGTTGCTAAGTAGAGTTTTACAATTACTATTACCATTCCCCTCTTATTCCGACAAATATTCCAATACTGGAGATTAGAGATTTCTTTCCATACGTAAGTAGTATTTGTACCAGACGAATACTATGTAAATTGACTCCATGCAGTGGGTTTATTTATAACGCGTACTCAATACTATAATAGTATCTGCTACTACATCTCCATTAGAGCGCAAATCACCGTCCATTACAGTATTAGTCGGGTAGGTGCTGTCATTGCGCGTGCGCAGATCCTCGCAACTGCGCGTTTCCTCTCCTGCGTTAAGCTGATTGGTCACGCGTAATTTAGGGTTGGTTGGAAAGTGTCGACAGCAAAAGCAAAAGTTCATTTTGCACTTTTACATTCATATCTGAAATATCACATACTACTTTCATCCGAGTAACGCGTGTGTATCCGCTGGCAGGAGCTAGTAATCTACATTCTTACATATAATTATAATTACGACCGCGATTATGTCATAACAATAGTAAATCGCTGCAACTGGCTGTCTCACTACAAATAATATAGCTCTGTAATTAATAGTTTTATTGTTTATAACACTTTATTAATTTATAGATTTGAATTGAGGACAGTTTCTTATAGAAGCCCTCATCACGAATTCAAGCAGTGCCATAGTACTTAATGGACAATAAATCACACAGTAACAATGATTCGAGATTTGGACCTTATTTAATTCTATTCTATTAATATTTGTCTCAATGCAGAATGAAATAAAATAAGGTATTTACCTGTATTTTTATGGATCTAATATGTTTTATTTAAACACCTATTACAAATACCTATGTTAACAACATGATCACTAATGCATTTGATCCAGATTTCCAATTAAAATCGAAATAATGTTTTTAAATCATTACCTTTTAATTGTTTTTTGATGTGTTCTTAAACGTCTCAGTGTTATTAATATGAGACTGTTTTTTTAATATATGTATTATGGGTAGCTAAATATGTACCAATTATAAACTTTGTTTAAAAATGTTGTTATTATCAATTGTACTTACTTTATAGTCTTATATCCAACCCATGAAGGTCAATAACAAATAAAAAACCGATGAGAAAAATAAAATCATAGCAGAAATATCAGGCCACCCCTAATGTGCAACAGAGATTCGCGAGCCGCACACAAGCGTATCGTGTCAATTCGTGCCAGATGGGTGTGTTGGTTAAGGTCAGCGTCCACTTGTCTCCTGCTCATTGTTACTGACTGCGACACACTGATCAATTGCCATTGTGCGTATTCTGACGTCGCGATCGTTGTTATTATTTTGTTTGGGTATATGAAACTAGTGAACGAACGGTCCAAACTTCGCTCGAGTGCAATTCTGATACTTAATTTCTCTCCCATTTTATTATAGGTGCTTACTAGATTTACTCTTCAATCACTATCTTTTTTTTAAAAAAAACAGCAGTAATTCCGTTGCGTAGTTTGAAAAAAAATAAGCATATACATAGATATAGGACAGAGAAACCGATTTTTTATTCTATCAAGTGATTCGTTGTCAGTCTTCTATTTTACTGATACTTTTTGATTTTTGATGATAAGGGGAAGTCTTCATTTTTATAAGGACACAGTCGAGCACTCTAAGGTAGTTTATAAGTGCCAAAGTCATAAATTGACATCTCCCAATGATTTCCTCTCCTTCTCAAAAATCAAAAAAGGGGATGGAAGCCTTCAAAATTCGCATAGCTATTTAGGAAGACTAAAACCATCACAGGTTCTGATACCGCAAATGTTTTGACCATTTAAGGGTTTTCAAAATCCTTCACTCCTTCATTCGAACTATTTCGAACATTCTACACGTTTTACGTAAATGTTTTCATATTAAATGTATGTAGATATAAATTGAATTGAAATTGTAATAAATAGAATTGAAATTCATACTATTCTGATGTAGTAAACTGAAATATATTATTATGCTGATTATTTAATACATTATTTAACGTTATATTTATAACGTTAAATATGAAGACTATCTAACCCTGAAGCCTATTTCAGTCTGATTTCATGTTTTAATACAAGGACTTTATTATTGTCATACTTCATTTAAATTTATTTATTCATGTGTTGGTATATTTATGTGAAATCGGTCACAGTATTACGATGTAGAAATTCAAGAAACATAGATCTTGCTGTGGAAAATCTGGTAATCTTTATTTAAAGTACTCCAGTAGACACGAACAAAACGTTGAAATTTATTACAACAATAATAAAATTTATTTATCGATTCAAATCATCACGAATCGAATATTTGATTTCCATTTTCGATTTTCCATAAAATTTGTAATTTGATGGCCCAATTCAGTATTCAGTTCGAAATTTAAATTTACCTAAATCGTTTGTGATAGTTATATTTTACATTATGTATTTATTATCTAGGAAGATTTAAGTGTTTATGTATTTATGTGTAGGCATTAAGATGCAGAATCTACTAGTACTTTCTATGAATAAATTCTAATGTTTAGGTATATTTATTTGACTCAGGAAACATTGGCTTATAATCTTTTGATTTACCTCAAATATATAAAAGTGGATTTTCATTGGTTTCAGGTTGGCAAGGAAGTGGCGCACCCTGGTGTAGCAAATGAATACGACAGCACACAAGAAAAGAAGTACTACACGTACTACCAATGGGTGTGCTTCGTACTATTCTTTCAGGTGAGTTCATATTTTAAATAAGTATGTATATTGTTCTTTCATTATAAACTTTTATGGATTCAGAATGAACCTTAATGCTTAATTTAAACGACTAGGTAATGGTCTGATTTCAAATGTTGATACCTGACCACAATTATACCCAAGTTCAGCAAATAGAACAAAATCTTTTCTCATAAACTAAAACACATTAACGACAGACTTGTCTAGAACTGCGTAATGTTAATGTAACCGAGTTCGTAAGGTCAATGGTTACAAATATACAAACAGTAATTAACGTTGTGTCTCATTGTTTAAGACATTATGCAGTAATGACGACACTTATTCATTAGCTGTTATTAAAAATTACTCACCGAGGTAACAAATTAATTATGAGGATTAATATACAATTTTGTACGATCTGTAAAGTGGTAGTAACGATTGCAATGAAGTTTTTTTTAAACGTTGGCTCATACCAAGATTTTATCATATGTCGTAGGTGCGTTTACAAACATAAAATTTTTCAAATACTTACATCATACCCAGACCCGGAACACAAATTGGGCAGGTCACACAAAGGGTTATTCCGTGCGGGAATGAATCCGCGACACGTTGCGTGGCAGACAGTTGCCTAGCCACGGCGCAACCGTGCAGTCATTTTTAACTAGAACTTTTTTAAAACAGGGGATACTCAATAACGTATAGCAGATCAGGCTTAGAACAGAAGGAACCGGGTGGTTTCTAGTCATTAAGTTTGATTTTGAGTCACACTCTGGCCCTTCTGTCACATTCTGATCATTGGATGATTTCCCCCTCGGAAAACACGTACGTATTTCTTATCGTATTTTGACTTCTAAATCAACTTATTTATAGAAAAGAAACAAAGTTGTTCGACACTACGATAATATAATCACTAGCTTCGATGACTGGAACTGTTATGAAGGACTTTCATTAATCACCTAACACAAGGTGTTGGCTACGCTTGATTAGCAAAAGAGCCCATAGTTGAAACATTTTGAGATCACCAGAGTTCAATCATTTAGAGACCACTTCTGTACTGTACAGATCCATTAACTAAATATACTATTGTATAGATTAGATTATGACCAGGTCAATTCATACTTAATCATGATGATCAGTCCACGAAAAGTACATTAAAGTGTAATTGCTAGCATCCATGAGTCCATGATGACGCCAGATCCAAGCTGACAATAAAATAATTAAATAGATAAAGGAAGTATTTACTTGTGTTGGTACTTAGCTAAGTACCCGATCATTTGTTCGCACCTTGACGTGTTTGTAAACATTTAGGTTGTTTCTATGACGTCATCATATTGTAATGGTCACTCAATCTTACTCGTAGTAAATTAACAGATGTTTTAAGGATAAAGTGAGTTATTTCGTCATGTGGTGTCATTTTTAGTAAATAGCTAGTTCAAAAATTTGCTTCGTAATAGTTAGGAAGCTGATGAAACATCTTGTAATGAAGTTGAAAGCGATTATTGAAACAATTAATGATAAACAATAATCTTCTTTTTAAACGACTAAAAAAAGGAGGTTCTTACTTCTAACCTGATTCTCCATAGGCGAAAGATGCTCACACATAAATATTTCTAATATTACTAGCTCATGTATTGGGAGTCCTCAATTCATTATTGAGAAAAGATCCTCATAGGCTCTTAATTACTTGCTAATAAGTAATTCATTTGCGTTTTAATAGCTAATTGTCTCTTGTGTATTTTCATCGCATCGAACGCATAAGATTACTCCTAGATTAGTCATTTCATCCTTGTGATTCACTCAATAAAAATAGTAATAGCTCGTTTTATATTTATTTTATGACTAACTTTCTCTTGAACTGTTACACTGTTTTTATATTCAAGGTGACAGACATTAAAGATGTTTTTCTAAGTAATAAACGAAGTCTTAACAGCAAATTGTAACTATGATTACTACAAATCTTTCGATATTAAAAGAAAGAAAGAAAGAAACTATGAATAAAACAACTTTTTTTTAGTTATTCACAAAAGATGCGCATGCGCCGGCCGCGCGAAAATCTACTTTTACGGAAGGAATTGAATGTAAACTTGTTTATGACGTGATTAGCATGTTAAAATCAAGTTTTGATTAGCAACCGAACTAGAGTAAGGCCTTTGACCGGTTGACCTACTGGCTGAGTATGTATACCCAGTTACCCAAACATGGACAGACTGTCCATAAAGTTACTAATAGCTTAATCACGATTCAATGGAATGTCCTCGAACCGTCTGTCTCGTAACGGTACCATGGAAGACCACTGTCCTGACTGGGCGACACTTTTCTAAAAGGAAAAGACTTGCCGTTTATGAGAAAACATCATCATAGTGACCTTTATTGATAGATTGTGAAGGCGATGACAATGTACTTCGTTTATGAATTAGTATTGGATATTGTCTTGTTAAGGAAATTATTAGATCCGGAACCTTCTATTAAGATATTGTTGCAATATTTCCAAAAAACTAACTTTATGTAGTTTTGCTGTGTTAGCGAAACTAGATTGTACTTTTTCATTATTATGTATAATACCACTTTTATACCGTGTTTTATGCAAATAAATAAATGTACTTACTTACTAGATGTGTACAAGGATACAATGAAGGAAGTCAAGTAAGTCGTAAGTCCTTCAACTTGTTTTTTTATGTCATAATGTCGGCAAAATAGCAGACGGATTACCTGATGGTAAGCAATCTAAATATCATATCTATTTCTATTTCTGTACACAAATACCTATATAATATAGAACTGTACGCTGATATTTCATCGGCGGTATTTCCGAACCGATACGATATTCGTACTCCGAGCGAGTACCCGTTCTTAAAAGGCCGGTGTCGTGCCTCTGACTGCTGGTGGTATTGCAGGTGTTCAATACCACTGGCATTGATTACTTACCATCCGATGACAAGTCTGCTCGTTTGCTTCCTATTCCAAAAAAGGCTGTACTATTCTGAAGACAATATAAGATGTTCAACAATGATGAACTTTGTTATTTGGCAATAAAGTTGCTAATGTATAAACAACTAGCTAGTCTCGAGCGATTTCACCCGCTGCTCTCGCTAGCCCCATTTGATCGTATCGTGGTGTTTCATAGCCTATAGCACTCAAGAACATTGTAGCTACCTATCAGTGAAAGAATTTTGGAAATCCGACCAGCTGTTCCAAAGATTACCCCCTACATACAAACTTTACCTCTTTATAATATTATTATGAGTATAGATTTTTAGCCAAAGGTTGTTGTGCGTAACGTTGTTCTTAGAACTCTCGATTATAACTGTTCTCAGCAGGTGTGACAATCGAATGCCGCATACAGATGTGCAATGTGTGCTGTATGTTGTTTGGTAACCATTGTGCACTGTGGAATGATAATAAAGTGACTCTTATTCATGTGATTTATGACTGTATTTTTTATGTAATTGGTTATCAAACGAGGCGATGGATGACGATTACCTGATGGTAAGCAGCAATCAGCGCTGCCCATAGACACTAATAGTACCAAAGGAGTTAATACAGGGGGGTTCTGGCCTCTTGTGGAATATAAAAATAAAATATAATAATCGATTATTTTTAGCAAATAAAGCTGTGTAAGAAATTTGATATGAGATGATAATGAGTATAAATCGTTTTGAAAATTCTTTTTACTCGTAGGTACAATTTCTTACTCATACTTATAGGATGCGAATGACCCAATGCCCTTAATATATTATATTATGAGTAAAAATGATCGAATTGGACCTTTGCTAGTCCATGATAATGAGAGATAGTAGATACGTAAAACAGTTTTTGTATAGTGGGTCAATATGACCGTTACGACATTTATATGGATTTAAAAAAAAAAGTAAGTTGGACGCAAACTAAACGTGCGTACAAAATTTCAGCTCAATCGTAGTAGATATCGGCTTTAAAATTTTGTTACAGTATTTTATTTCAAAACATGCATACCTATATACACTGCAACTTTAATAAATGCTTTTATCTGGTAAACATAGAGTATTATATTACAATTTATAATTCTATGCACCAGAGTCATGGTGATCCATATTGCATAACGATGATAAATAATAACAATGTTGTAAAAACGCGGATCGTCCGATTCTTCTCATCTACACACCGTGACACTGGTATTGTGACGCATCGTGACAACCATTGCGAGATCACTGCACTAACATTCGTGGGAACGGCCATTTTCTCCTCTAAATATAAGGTCCTGCTTCCTTGGCCCACAGGCATCTATCGGCATTTTTTGATTGTTGAAAATCTACAGTAACAAGTTAATTAATAAAATATACTCAACGAACATTTAGCAGCTATCAAATCAAATACCTCGGCTCATCTTTCCAAGAAAATAAAGGTTCTCGATGTTATGTCAATATTAAACACTGTCTGTTTCTAAGACGTCGCCAAAAGCCACAGATAGTATTTTCTTAGTAAAAAAAACTATAAAAAAAGTATCAATTTGTACGCAAAATTGTATCCACCTGCATTCAGTTTTACCTATAGCGTGATAGAAAAACACACATCCATCTATCAATTTTGAGAACTAAAATATTTTTATTGTATGTGACGTTTTAAGTCAATTGAAAAGATAAATACTAAAAATACGTTACTAGAGACGCGTCTACAAGAATCGTGACCAATCAATATATAGGATGTTGCACTTTTGTATAGTATTTTATTATTTGGTGATAATTAATGAATCAGTTTTGACTAACATGTTTGGATGATAACTGTTTCTTTTTCCCTTATTTGGTTTGTGTGTAAGACATTCCAAAAGTTGATCCGTCAGATTATGAATGAAAAATATTCTAGTATTACGAAAATGGTCCAGAAAAAATTATCTGCGTAATTTTGTAACTCAGGAATTCCCTAAACATTTAGGATCAAGATTAATATCTTCAATATTTCCAATTTAATGTTCTTTGAAAATTGTAATCATCATCATCATCATTATCAGCCTAATATCTTCCACTGCAAGACATAGGCCTCCCCAATTGCACGCCACTGAGCTCGATGTTCAGTTCTTCTCATCCAACTGCTGTCAGCCAAGTATAACAAGTGTTAATGTAAAGTATTATTTCAGGCGATAATGTGCTACACGCCAAAGTTCCTATGGGATGCGTTCGAGGGTGGCCTGCTGAGGACCATCGTCATGGGGCTGAACATCGGCATATGCCACCCCGAGGAGAAGGAGAAGAAAAAGGATGCCATCATTGACTACCTCTTGCGGTATGAGCGGGTATGTAGTATAAAGTATACTTTTACATTTACTAAGTTATTACAGTGAAACCTGGTTAAGTGAGACATCAAGGGACCTGCAATGTCGTTTCACTTATAGAGGTATTCCACTTACCCAGGGTCTCAGATATACAGGTATTAATAAATATCTGTTTCATTTACAGAGGATTCCATTAATAGAGGTGAGAATACAGGTTATTTCAGTTATACAGGTGCGATCATTAAATAAAATAACGTGTTATGTATGTAAATTAGTTTTAATAAAAAAAAATAGTACTTAAAGGTAATCATACAAATGTATTCGATTTTGGCACATTAAATTCGGCACAAACTTTTTCGCGTGTCTTTCCACTTTCATAAACGGATATCTTCAGTTTTTCGCGTAATGATAACGATTGTAGCTTTCGTTTTGGCATTTTTGAAATAAACATCTGTATCATAGTAAAGCGAAACTAAAACTGAAGGTAATTAAAGCTCTAAATTTGTACTTACGTACTTGGAATTACGTGTGGAATTTGTGGGTAGAATAAGAATGAGTAAACAAACAATGCTATCTCAGTTACAGAGGTTTATGCATATAAAATTTACTCGCTGTCTCAGTCATAGAGGTAACTATGATGATAAATCGAAAGAACAAATCCCAGATATACAGGTTTGCCTCGTCCCACTAACAGAGGTAATTGAGTGCCAAAGTGTTGGGACCTCAGCATGAGTTCCAGTTATGGAGGTTTCTCACTTATCCAGGTCCCACTTAACCAAGTTTCACTGTATAAAAAAAAATGGGTTCGTTTTTTACTCGTTTTACAATATTTTTTTTTTATTTCTATCAATTTTTGAATTTGTACGTTTAAAAACCTTATTTGGTTGTAAAGATTGCCAACTTTGTCCAAAATCAGAATCCTGGTGTTAGTAACTCGTGAACTTATATATTTTTTAAACTTATATAGATTCATTTTACACGACACCAACTTTAAAAAAAACTGATCTGGTTGAAACAATTGCAAAAAAATAAATTAATTACCGTTTATACACACACTATTGTAAAAAAATATTGTTGACCTAAAATCTTACAAAATTCTCATTGATCTTTGTATTTCGGATAACTTTCTACGTAATATCATTACTTAATCATAATTACTAATTAATTATGCAAAATGTCGCCCTTCAATGACCTTATAGGGCTTCTTAGTTCAATGACAACACCGTGTCGCTTTGTTTAAACTCATGCGCATATTGCGCAATAACTGTGCGGATCAAAGTACAGGACGGCCACGTTCAAGGGTGTTAAGTCTAAACTATAAATGTACAGAGGCCATCAGGTCTACCTAGTAGATTTTTAACTTTGTCATTGTGATATAAAGTCGAAAATCCAGTAATAATATTGAAGGACTAGATTCCGCCCGCGAATTCTTACGGATATAAAACTAATGTATCCCAGATAGCTCGCCTAAAAAACGCAATTCGAGTTTAATTTATAGCCTGGATATACATTCAGAAACATTGTAGCTATCAATCAGTCAAACAATTTCGGAACATCGACCAGCGGTTCCAAAGATTGCCACCTATGCACAAATTTTACTCTTTTATAATATGAGTATAGATTGTATAAGGTTTGCCTCCACTAACCTCTCTAGAACAAATAGGAAAACTGATGTTGTTGCTTGGCCATTAGTTTCCTATTCCTTGGATTTTGTAGTTACATACTAGGAATTGAGACCATTGTAGTAATTTGTTTTGTTATAAAACTGAGTCACGGTTGAGTTTAGACTCTGTTATGAATATTAATATCCGCGTAATATAGTAATAAAACATGATGAAACATTTTGGGAAGCAGGAAAAACCAATATTGTATTCACGAATTCAGTTATACGCGTCCTCTTTCCCTCTCTTGTCTTGGACAAACGAAAGGAGAAGTAAAGCTTAGTTTGGATATCAATTTTGTAGAAGCTTATTTGTCTACTGGACATAGCAGTTGTGTGTTATTCTAGACTATCTCTGTGACAGTTTTCATTAAAATACATTCAGTTGTTTTTTATTTGAAAGAATAATAAACGACATTCTTACAAACATTCCCTTTAACAATATTTATGTAAGAAGTAGTAGGATTAATATGTAAGTAAAAACAACCAATTGCCGTAAGTATATTTGAAGTAGTGAAGTAATATAATAGTGACGCAAAAACCATACGGAAGTAGTAACAGTGACGTTGCTATTTTATCTACTACGGCTACTCATTCAGACAATGGAAGTCTAAAATTAGCCGCTTATACGCTCGCAGTCTTTCAGGTATATTTATAAGGTGCAATAAAAATATAATTATTAGGTATTTATAACGAGGGTCTCTGCATCTGGTTACTAGCACCGTATGTACTGTGTATGAAGTATGTCATGTATTATTATATTATAGTCTTAGCTTAGCTTAAACAATGCCTGTTAAAAATAAGTCTTCTGACCAGTTCTTTGGTGAATAGCCTAATATTTTTTTAACATTTCAAGGACTTCAAATTATAAAGACCTGCCATTCTTTTGCCGATTAATATTCACAAGCAACGGCTTCTGTTCGCCTCTGGGAACTGAGCCTTGTTCCCGTCTGTCCGTGTTCTGTATTCACAATGCATTCCCGATTTGTGATTGGCATTCGACGAGCGAGCGATGCGCGTGAGTCGCTGGAGCCTTTCTTTTCCCTCCTGTGGGGTATAGGAATTTAGAAATTCCTCCTTTCCTTAATATGGACGCAATTGTGTAATTTGTGGAAGAAGATTATAGATTCTGAGCTTTAAAAATTCGCTTTCTATCCCAAAGTAATCCATCCTTTTGGGAATTAAAGTTTTGGGGCAGCGCAAGGATTGGACCTACTTTAACCTCAATTACATGGGGAAACACAACGCTATGGTTGTTTCACGCTGGTTTTCTGTGATTCCGAGGTATCACTCCGGTCGAGCCGACCCACTCGTGCCGAAGCATGACTCTCCCACACTTTAAAATGAAGTATGATTTTAATTCTACCTAAAAAGATGCCGTCTAATGACTCGTCTAGTCATTAAATTAGTCATCGCCATATTTACATATCTGTTTATTACTTCATATATTTGGGTGACATGTTTTATTCATTGCAACCGTACATGCTAATGAGCTTGACCTAAATAGTAAAGTTTACAAGTACTGTTAGCAGACATTTCCGTTTCCTTTATACCATACAAATCTCGTCATTTAGATATAGGTGTTAATTTCTAGAAGTTTCTCGTGAAGGAAGAATGCGTAGGACAATGTTGCAGGTAACATCCAATAGGAAGCTAACTTGCTCATTGTTTGATTATGTTTTGTTTCTTAGCCATTGACACAAAAATTTACTTTTGATAGTAATTTTATGTGTTGACTTTCTTACTTGGTTACATTCGTTCCATAAGTAGGTATATGGGTTTTAGCTCTATATCTTTAATTCCCTATTATCTCCTAACTAGTCACATTCTTCTAGTAAAACAAAAAACAACGAACTTATAATGGAGATCTTACATCCAAATATCATCCTTTTATCCCTATTATGAATATCAGTTTTTTGAATTATTTATACCTAATATTATTTCTTATACACCCTTTCTCCCCGTAACAATTTAATTTGTCCGTCAGTTACTGGTCATTGTGTGTTACTTGTCGCTTTCTTACTCGCAATGGACCGTGACGTGACTTGAGATCGTGACAGTCGATCAGGCCAGCGACAAACCGATTCAACCAATTTTTTCTAAGCGGTCATTGCCCATACCTCGTTCATTGCTCGTTGTTACGCAATCTACCTTCGCCGGCGTTCTATACATTGATGGCAAGCTTCTTATCATTAGATACTGGATTAGAGTTACCCAGCAATGGTGACCGTACAATTTTTTTGCGCTAGATACCATCTCCGAAGTTACTTTTCCGGTTTGAGTTATGTACTTGGTTATTAAAGCGTTTGAGTTGCAAGCTTGTCATTCCTCTGTGAAGCTCGGAAGCTTAGCTAATGGAATTATGGGATTAATTTACCATTTACCATCAAATGCTTGCATCAGGCTAGTCTCCTGCTATATATACGTACAAAACTATATTTTTCCCTTTGAATATTGTTCATTTGCATTTTGAGATCTACGCACTAAAGTGCCTACTTTACTTAGACTATGACTTCTATAAACCAGTTTGTTCTTGTAATACAATTTCTTGGTAACCGATTTCCTGTTGTTAATTATAAATAACAAGTAAGTTATAAAACTTCAATGTAAATTTTATAACGAAATGTAATAAACTGAAAGGCTTTGAGGTCGTTTTCGGAGAAGTAATTTGGTATCGACATTCACTGAACACGTAGTTCTAGTTAGAGATTGAATGTTGAATTGGCAAGTATCAGGTCGATTTTATGGTAAGTATATGGTCACTAAGATTACAAGGTGGGTTTTAAGCTTTATGAGACCTATCTATCTGTAGTATATTAAACATAAGTATCCAAATATTTTGCTATACATGTACATAACTCGTGAACAGCTGAACGATCTCAGATTAGATTTTTTTGAACTCACTCCATATTTATGTTGATAATCCGAAAGCTCATCTGCCGTCCTATCACATAAAAAAACTAAGTTGCATCCAGCTAGGAAAAGATATAATTTTTGAATGTAATTTTCTAAGATTTTTTTTAAAGTACAACTATTTGTAGATGTCTGACCTTTATGTCTGCAATAGTTATTTATTGACACTCTTTTTTATTTTTAATGTAGGTATTCTTATGATTTGCACAATGGATGAATAAAACAGTAGAACAGTTCTGTTGTATTTGAACTCGGTGAAGGTGTCAAGTGCGGCTTCCCGCCATCTGGCGGATGTTCTCGGCTTCCACCTGTGTGCGCGATTGTTCCAATACAACCGACTGCCAATACTGCCATTTAGCTCACACCTTGTACTAAGGTAGATGTGTTGTTAAAAGGCTTTTGTAGCATTGTCATTTGTTCGATTTTGCTCTTTTAAAGTAAGAAATAT